TTGGACTTGCCGTTATTGATATGCTCGAAACTCCTAGTCTAAGGGATGATCAGTGTTATCTATAGAAGACGTTCAAGTTAGTAACGTTGTAAACAACATTTATTATTGATCTTCTTACCCTTTTGCCTATGAGTCCACGTTTTATTTACACTATCGTGTTTGGATCCTACTTGTGAGTTTATATTTCTAGGCCTTGCCTAGGTGCTCTGACGTCACCTTAATGAGGGGTTTAACACGAGATTATAATAAATGTGTTGTTGGTGTTGTATGAACATAATACATATGTTCATTGTATCTAGGGGTGTCAATATGGGTTTTAACCCGTGAGCCAACCCGGCTCACCACGGGTTCGAGCTGGGTTGGGTTCGATTTTTTTTATTTTTACCGATTATAGGCTAAAAATGAACCCGATTCACTTAACCCACGGATTAAACGGGTTTGAGTCGGGTTATGGTGGGTTGGCCTGCAACCCATCATTAATTTTAAATTTTAAAAATAATTATAATAATATATTAATCCTAATTAATCATTTATTTTAAATTTTAAAAATAATTATAATACTTTAGTAACCCTAATTGATGTTATCCTGTCTTACCTTTACCCTACATTGTTGGTTGTCGTCACAAGTCAAACACTCACTTAAATTTGTTATTAGTTGTTCGCTGTGCCACTACGTTTGTTGCTGCATTTGGGTCACTTGTCTTATTATCTGTCCACCGCACCACTACACCATATCTATTGTATTGCTTTCAAAGGAAAGAATTTGTTTCATAACCTAAACTATTGGATTGATGAATCTTTATTTGAAAATTGTAGCATCTATACATTATTTGTTGTTTGTTATTGATTTATACGTATATCTCTTTAATATATGAAGTTTTGACTTCTTCCAGCCCCAGTTCTGACCTGCAACAGCCTCCTATCCCTCTTCCATTCCCTCCCAAAGCAATTCCAAGCAAAAAGATGGAAGATGTCGATAAAGAGATTCTAGAGACCTTCAGGAAAGTTGAGGTGAACATACCTCTGCTTGATGTCATCAAGCAAATTCCCAAATATGCTAAATTCCTGAAGGAGTTGTGCACCCACAAGAGGAAGATGAAGGGCAGTGAGACAATCAACATGGGCAGAAATGTGTCTGCTTTGATAGGTAAATCTGTTCCTTACATTCCTGAGAAATGTAAGGACCCAGGTACATTCTGCATACCTTGTATTATTGGCAATAATAAATTTGAGAATGCCATGCTTGATTTGGGTGCTTCAATTAATGTCATGTCTTTGTCTATATTTAAATATCTTTCTCTTGGACCCCTGCAACCTACGAATATAGTTATTCAGTTGGCAAACAAGAGTGTTACCTACCCTATAGGTTTCATTGAGGATATCTTAGTTAGGGTTGGTGAGTTGATTTTCCCTACTGATTTTTACATTCTTGATATGGACGAGGGATTTTCACGTGGTTTTGCACCCATCATTTTAAGAAGACCATTTTTAAAGACTACAAGAACCAAGATTGATGTGCATGCAGGGACCTTATCCATGGAATTTGATGACATTGTGGTGCACTTTAATATTCTAAATGCCATGAAACACCCATCTGAGGAGATAGATCCAAGAACCACCATGATGAGGAAGACTTTGTTTGTTTTAGCGGAACAAAGTTGCTACTTGATGACCTCAACACCTGTACCATCTGAGGAGATAGATCTGGGACCCACCATGATTAGGGAGTTCTTCTTTCCCCTTCAACTCTTTTATCTTGCTTGTCCTATTTGTTTAATGGATATGATTGTGTTTACATTGAGGACAATGTCTAATTTAAGCGTGGGGTGGGAGATGTAGGATTGTAGGTTTATATTCTATGTTTTGTGTATAGTTTTGCATATTTTTCTTTGATTTCTAGGTTTTGTATAGGTAGTAGGCACTTTCTTCACTCTTGGGAAAGGAGTTGCTTTATGATTTTTGGATTGAAATCCCTGTTTTTCTCTGCTTGTCAAGTTGGTTACGATGTTTGAGAGGTTGAATTGAAGGCGACAATCTTACCCTTTGTGAGGAATTGAGCCACTACCTGTTCTTTCTTGAGTGTTATGCCTCTTGATTGCTTGCGCAGTAGCCTTGGCTTGACTCTGATTGATACTTCTTGATTCACATGCATGTTTGGAGATGATTAAGGCATTTTTGTTCTGATTAGCCTCTAGCCAAATGAGCCTACCTTGAATTAATTCCTTTGAGAGCCCCTTTGAGCCTATGTTTCCCTTTATTTCTTTTGAAGCTCATTAAAAGCTTTAAGTGAAAAACCATGATTACCTTAACCTTAGGGATTTTTGGAGCTTTGGAATTGTTTTGGGAATAAGTTATTGAATAAGTGTGGGGGTGCATTTTGTATTTCATTGGATGATGTACTAGCTAGTTGGTTATCTCTATTGTACAATTTTTGTGTTTTCCTTTCGAGTGTATTTCATGTAGTTTAAAAATATATATATATATATATATATATATATATAAAAGAAAAAAAAAGAGAGAGAAAATAAAAAAAAGAAAAAAAAAAGAAAGGAAAGTTGTGGTTGAGGTAAAGACGAGTAGTGGAGGTTTGATAATAGAGGTTTTTGGGCATGGATCTTGTGCTTATTTTTTACTTATTCCCCATTGCTCCTCTAGTTCCTCGCGGTTCACGTCTACTTATCCCATATGATATCCTCTACCTTGTCCCTACCCCCATTACAACTCGAAAAGACCTTTTGATCTTTTTATGCATGTGCGTTGGGTGTTGAGTTTAGAGGCTTGCCAAGTCTATCTGTTGTTTGCTTTTCTTGAGTATTTTGAGAGTATACGGTAGCCTAGACACATGAGAGATACAATGCATCTTGTGAGGTTTTGTCACTTTGATTCACCTTTTGACACGATTGACCTCTTGCCAGGTTTTGAAATGCTTGGATGATTTCCATGAGTATCTCGGTTCCTCGACTCTTTGTGTTGGATGTTGTCTACTCCTTTCGTTTCCTAGGTTTCATTGATGAATATGTATATCTCGTTTATGTTTTTGTTTGTCTTTATTTTTGTTTTTGTCCTTTGCATAATTTTCTTTAATGTTTTTGAATTTATTTCCTTGTTTTGCTTCTTGATTTTGCCCAGGAGTGCAAAAGGCTAAGTGTGGGGTTATTTGATGAGTCATTATATTCCAGTATTTTCTTCCATTTCCGAACTTATTTTAATTAGTGTTTTGGGCTTAACTTTCTATTATTAGTGAATTTTTATTAATTGGGCTTCATTGGGCCAATAATTAGATTTTAATTAATTTAAATCTATTTGATCTAATTTTTTCTCATTATTAATTTTAGGATAGTTAAAGCAATTTTGGGCCTAGAAGATTGGGCTAGATGCCATTTTACAATTTAAAACAATTTTGGGCTTGGAAAATTGGGTCAAATGTCATATTTTATTCTATATGGGTACTAACATTGGTTTACTGTTTTATTTATCATTTTTTCTACAGATCTCCAAAAATCATTATTTTCAAAACATTATAAACTACACACATTCAGCTTTCCATAGGATCCAAAATCATTCAATTCGGAGATAAATTGGATTTTACATAAATTATCCAACACGGGTCAAGCGCACCAGGGCAGCCCAATGGACATGCTTAAGTAATTTAAGTCTCCTAAATTTATTCGACCTCCAAAAATAGTAGCAATGGTGGCGTTTTAAAGCTAACTCAAAAGGCTTTCAAAGAATACCGAAATCGCTTAATTTGGATAAGTATTGAAAATACTGCACGTGTTTGAAGTTCACGGACCTGCACTAAAGCCAACTTATGATGTGTTTCATGGACCAGTTGAGCCCAAACCTCAATAAAGATTAGGGTTAGGGTTATTTATATAAGAGAGACACATCACACATCAGAAGACACACATCACACAAGGACTACACAGCCACCACACTTCCACCTTTCATCTTCTGCAATTTATATTCAAGTTTGTTTACTCTTTTGTCATTATTTTTAAATTCTTGTTTTGATTTTAATTATGTTTCTTCTATTGCGTTTTCAACTTTCCATGGATAGCTAAATCATCAAAGTGTCAATGTAAATTGTATTGGTGATGGTTTTATTATTAATGAAAAACTCAATGAGTCAATTCAGTTAATAACGAAGATACTGATGTTGAGAAAGAAATGAAGAAAACATACATATGAAATTTTTATATAATTTAAAAAATTAAAAAAAATATGGATTAATGAGTCAACTCACCTAACCCACCAACCCGTGGTAGGTTGGGCTGAGTTGTAAAATTTCTAGTTCGCCAAAAAGTGAGCCGGGTTGAGTTTACCTATTTTTAGCTCAATCCGTGGTGAGTCAACCTGTGTAAGCCGGGTTGATCCACTTTGACACCCATAATTAGATTTTGCTAAATATATGAATATAATGCACTTTAATTAATTGAAGGGAACATGTAGAAGTGTCTCATTTATCTTATTAATATTTATATAAACATATCTCTAAACTAAAATATATTTAAACCTAGAGCATCAATTTAAATCATACACCGTTCAAATCCTAGTGGGGCTAATAAAACCCTAAACATCGACCCTTTCAGTATATATGTATTATATCATTTTAATGTTTACTTTATACAAACTTAATACACTTTAATTTTTCATTTTTTTATAAAGTATTATATCAATTTATTAAATTAATAATAGTATAGTATTTAACTTTATATATTGTTTAACTTGAGACTCGTCGTTTGTTACCGTTGACAGACATGAGTCTGCCACAGAGGAGTGTGGTGGGCCCCGGTCCCACCCAGTTTCGAAAATCAAGGCAAAGACTTCGGTGTCAGCTCACGGTAAACTGAGAACGACACGACCGTTTGCGTTTTCTATTTAGTTCTCTCATTCACTTCCACACTCTCCAAACACCAACCCTTCCTTGTCGTTTTATTATTACAACTATTATTATTGTTATTGTTTTTGTTGTTTTTCCACTTTTTGCAGTGTTTCCCATGGAAGTCTCCGACGGAGCTTCGAACCGACCCGAACCGGGCTTCAGGGCGGAGATCGACACATCGGCGCCGTTTGAATCGGTGCGGGAAGCCGTCACGCGATTCGGCGGCGTTGGGTATTGGAAACCTATTCTTAATGGTCTTGGCACTAAGCACTTCGTGCCTGAGGTAACAACCCATTAGCTTCTTTTTTCTTTAAAGCTTCGGCGTTGCACAAAAGAAAAGTTTCGACCTTTCTGGTTTTGAACGTTTTCAAAACAAAATAAAAATAAGTAAATTGGTTTTATGTGTTGTTTTTGCTTCTGCTAACTCTTTATTGTGCATGGTCTTCTGAGAGGAAATGAGGTTTTGTTATTTTTATTATTGTTGCTTGTTAATTAATTAAGCTAATAGAGTCGCGCTGCAGTTCAAATTTTCAAGTTTTTTTTATTAAATGTCGTTTGTATTCGGCTGAGTAGTACTTGGTTGATCTGAAAAGCAGTGATATTAAGTAAAATATTATAAATTGCGAATCTTAGCAAAATGTGGGAAGTAGATTATATTTAACTTCAAAATCATTTATTTGTTTGTTTTGTTTATTTATTTATTTTCGGGAACAATGCTAACTGCTAAGAACCCTTCGCCATGATAATCAAGGTCATGTATGTGATATATTTGCTGGATTATATTTTTTTTCAGTCTAATATTTTTGCAGCATTTTTCTATTCTGATAAGGACAACTTAAATACAGTTTTTTTGAAAGGTTTTTGATGATGTTTTCCGATTATAATTGAAGTTTCATCTCAATAATTTGCTTAATCAATGTTTACATTAAATATCAACGTAACTTCTTGAATTATAAACTACAATTTTGATGGAAGAACTGCACCAAAAACATCTAAGGAATTTGCATTCAAGTTTTACCCATACTATAATTCTGAAGACAGGATCATCTTCTAATGCAGAACTAAGTAGTTATCACGTGTCTCCTTTTAGAACCAGGTTGAGTGAAATTTGGCATAGACGCATAGTTGATACTATAGTATCTCATTTTTTGTTTGACTGTTTACTTTTAGTTCGTTTTTAGCATTAGTATTGAGTTAATTTCACAGTGAAAGTTTCTCCCTTCTTTTTAGCCGCACCATACAGAAGAGCCTGACCCCGGAAAACTTGAGGAGCAAGCTGCTGTATTGGAGAAAGAGCTGATCCTGAAGGAAAGGGAAACTCTTGATGTCTTGAAAGAGTTGGAAAGTACCAAAAGGCTTGTGGAGAATTTGAAATCAAAGCTACAGAAAGAAGAATCTGAAGTGAAATTGAATTTTCAAATGAGTTTGTGCAATGATATATCTACTGTTAAGGAGGATGAGAAAGAAGATAAGGAAAACCAAGTGAGTAATGTTGTTCAGGATTTGATAGAAGGTTGTATCCCCTATCCTTCATCGGCCCCAGGTTTAATATTAATGGAATTGAAGCAAGCCAAATTGAATCTGAACCAAACCACAAGTGATATTGCTGATGTTCGTGCATCTGTTGAATCACTCAATAAGAAGTTGGAGAAGGAAAGACTATCTCTTGAGAAAACACGGGAGAGGTTAACTCAAAATTCTTCAAAGATATGCTGTCTTGAGGAAGAGCTAAACCAGACAAAACTAAAACTGCTAGTGGCAAAAGATGCCAGTTCGGATAACCCTTCAGATATTACAAAAGAGCTCCAGCGACTAAGTTCTGAGGCAGAGCATTTCAAGAATATGGGAGAAGCTGCTAAATCAGAAGTCTTGAAAGCAATGTCTGAGATTGAACAGACAAAAGCTATGATAAAAACTGCTGAAATCAGGTTAGTTGCTGCCCGGAAAATAAAGGAAGCTGCTAGAGCTGCAGAAGCTGCTGCCCTTGCAGAGATTAAAGCTTTATCTCATCATGATAATTCACTTGGAGAGTGTATGCAAAAGCACGATGGAGTTACCCTTTCCTTTGAAGAGTACACTGCACTAACCTACAAGGCGCGAGAGGCCGAGGAACATTCAAAGAAGAGAGTTGTGGATGCTATGCTTCTAGTTGATGAAGCAAATGTATCAAAAATGGGCATTTTGAAGAAGGTAGAGGAAGCCACAGAAGAAGTTAAAACCAGCAGGAAGGCCCTTGAGGAAGCTCTAGAAAGGGTAGAGGCTGCAAATCTAGGAAAGTTAGCAGTTGAAGAGGCGTTAAGGAAGTGGCGGTCAGATAGTCACAAAAGGCATTCCTCCGTACATAACTCTACCAAGTTTAAAAATTCGTACCCTTCTCACCATTGGAAGGAATCTCGGTTACTCGATGTCAATGGGCTGAATCTGGTAAACGAAGAAGCCAAGCCAGTTCTAAAGCCAACACTTTCTATTGGACAAATATTGAGTAGAAAGTTGATGATGCCAGAAGAGTATGAAGCTGGAGCGATGCTTAGAGAAAGAAGCTCAGTGAAACGGAAGGTGTCTCTTGGTCAGATGCTAGGCAAACAAAATACAGATCCATCCTTTGACAGGGAAGTTGAGAGGGAAAATGGTCAGAAGCCATTTTCTGCAAAGAGAAAGAAATTTGGATTTGGTCGATTCTCCCTTCTTTTGACGAAACAACAAAAGAAGAAGAAGAAGAAGCCAACACTGAACTTGAGGTGATGGCTTACTTGATCATTTTGTGCTGATAAACTCAAGTTTACATCTTCAATCCTTTCCCATATCAATATATCATCCAATTATTGTGCCTTCTTTAGTGGATTATTGTATGTTGTATTATTTTACCTTTGCTTGTTGTATATTAACTAAAGTTTGTGCATCACTTGAGATGCTACTTGTAGAGATGATTATGTCAATTTAACTCTGATGTTAAAATTCTGATATGCTGCTGAGGTTGTTATATTCTTTCTCCCTTCTTTATTCATTACATATATTGGCATAAATCCCTGTGCTTAAAAGACTCCCTCTAATGAGTAGGGTGTTTATAAATCAATAAAAATAATATTTAACATAAAAAAATTGAAAAAAATAGTGTTTTTTTTTTATTTAATTTTAGAAGTCGATTAAATCAAACTTATTTGTTTATATTTTATAAAATTATGACCTCACTCTTGTTTACATTTTTATTTCTTTATACAAAAATTAGAATAACTAATTTAAATAATAGTATTTTTAGTTATTATTGTTTAATGAAAACGTATTTAGAGTTTTTGTTCAACCAGAGTGTTTATAGAGATTTTCCTTATTTTTTTCTCTTCCGTTACATCATTAGTTCTAACCTATTTTATTTTTCAATTATCGATAATTGAAAATGTAATAGTATTACCATATAAAACGACTAAAATATAATTTAAATGTTCCAAAATATTTATTTATATAAAATACTTATTTCAAATTTTAACTATAATATAATTTATATGGATAGAAGTATTTATTTACTATATAATTATATAAAATAACTATTTTTGTAACCCATGTTCTAAAATACTAGTTGCTTATATATTTATTTATAAAAAAATCACATATTTAGAGAGTTGTTGATGTTACATAAAGATTTATTATATTATGATTGTTTATTGAAATGTGGTATTTAATTTGATAATAAAAGTTTTTTAAATACTGAATATTATTGATTTTTTGTGATAAAAATAAAGAAATACATATTTAAATATTGTAACTTTCAATTTTAAAATATTAACTTAACTCACCAAATTCAAAATATTCATTATAATATTATCAGTAAAATCAAAATATTTTAATTAATTTTAAATATATTATTTTTTTTATTTAATTTTATTCAACAAAGTTTCCTTAGAATTAGACACAACTCCCGAGATGATAAGTCGATCTAACCTTTTCCATTATACTGATATTAGTTTAGGGTTTAGGTTTAGGCATCTTAAAAAGTTGACCATATTTACAATATGATTCATTTTAACCCTTATTTTTAATTTAGATATTTAAAATTTTGAAAATATACTAAATGACAAAATTTAACTAAAAATATTTTTAAATATTTTTCAAAATAATATTCTCAATATATAACTAAATATAATATTTTTATATATAGGAAATATTGGACATTTTTGTAACTATTTATTTATATATTTTTGTACTGTTTATTTAATATTTTTCTAAAAAATCTATTTTTCAAAAATTGATATAATCCAAACAGGTTAGCTTGAATTGAATTCATTCTAAATTTTGAACTAAAATAAATGGATCAAACTACAAATAAAAATAAAAATAAAAATCAATAATCATTGTTTTGGATTTTATTTTTTCTAAAACTGATCTGGTCCATGAGAAAAGGGAAAAGGTCAAACATAAGTAGTTACTAATAAATATGAAACCTGATGAGAAACATAACCTTTATGTGACCTTTCCCTTCTCCAGTGCCTGACACATTTCATTCAAAAGTTGCCCTGATTTCTTCCGCAACAGGCAATCTTCTCTTCTTTTCTTCATTCCTATGTCGTTTGTTATAATTTTCTCCTTAAATTTTCGTCTTTGTTATACATTCCTCTCTATAGCTCTTAATTCAATACAAACATAATATATGTCCCCTTTATATTTTGATCATGCAATTCAAACTGATTTATTTTCTCTTCTTTTCACATTATTCTTATATAACGTATTATATCATGGTTTATATATTGTAAATGTTTTTATCTTTATTAATTTCCATATAATAAATATTTAACTGATAATGTTGTTTGATCATGTTGTTGAAAATATATTTTGATGCTGCATATATTCGCTTTAGTTGAATAATTCTTTATACTCGTATGTCTTTGTAGTAACCCTTCAATTTCATTGGTTTCTTTTGTTTTTTCTTTTTCTTTTTTTTTTTTTCTGGTGGAATTTTAACAGGTTTTTTAAGTGCTTGTCACAGGGATCATGGAGGGAAGAATGGGACTTTTGTTTCTGTTTTTGTTGGGTGCTGCTTGGGCTTGTGATTCAAGAGAGCTAGGAAACTCTGGTGGTAAGATTCGCTGTCATGCTTAGAGAGATGGATAGAACGTACTTACGTAATCCTGTTTGTTTTGTTAAACTTTTTGTAAGTATTTTTATGAAAAAAATAAGATTTTTTTTTCTTTGCATAAATTAAAATTTATGTTTTAGAGCAGTTACATAAGAGAGATCAAATTAACTTGTTTTAACTTTTTTTTTTTGCCTATTGAGAAACTTATTTCATTTTTTTGTTCTTACAAATGTTTAGGAAGACAATTATTCAACTAATCTCTGATCCTATTTCTGGTGGTATATATCACTTATGTTAATCAAGCATAGCTCTTTGGATTGCTCTGATTGATTTGTAGAGGTTATTCTGTTCATTTGATGGGAAAGGAAGACCAATTTTAACATTTCTTTCCATAAGCCTTACAAATGAGTGTCAAGTTTATAAATTTCCCTCTCATTTAGATAAATTGAAGTAAGAAGTATGGGTGAAGTTTTCATATTCAGGCACTTTTGATAAGTTTTAAAGACAAAATATTCCAATTTGGCCAAAATGTAACAGCCTCTTAGTTCTGATTAGACCATTGTAGCAAAAAATATTACTTGCTAAACGTATAGAGTATATTGTTTCTGTTAAAGTGTAGTTATGGTTTTGAAATACAAATACAGCTTTAGTACTAGTTGATGTTGTTGACATATTTTCCATATGCAGAAGTAAACAGAAAATCAGATGTCTGTGAACTTTGTGAGGAATATACTGCTGAGGCACTTAATTACTTAAATGATAAAGAGAACCAGAGAGAGATTATTGATTCACTTCACAATAAATGTTATCAAATGCTCTCTTTTGAACAGCAGGTTGGTCTCCTTCCCTTGATCTTTAGCTTTTCTTTTCCTCTAAATTTTTTAGTTATTCGCAGTGGCTGCAAAAATTAATTTTATTTCCAGTTATGCTGTTTAAATTCTTCCAATAATCTGAGCTAATTTTTGTTTACAAATATGATAATTTTACATATTTTAGTACTCCTAAACAGAATAACTGCTAGGGCATAAGGAAAAAGGGTAGTGAGACTTAGGAGATAGTTACTTAGTTTGAGGGAGGAAGTTAGCATACATATGAAAATAGGATGGTTCAAGGGAAGAAAATTAATTCATAAATATTGTTAGCATTAATAAATGGGGCATTTTCTCTATGGCAAAAAAGGGGACAACTTTGGAAAATAACTCTCTTCTTTGTTGACAATCAATATTCTATACAAGCAGCATTATTTTCTTATATTCTGTTTCTAGGTTCCTAAAAAAACACAACCCATATGTTTGTGGACTTTCTTTGGATAAATTTGTTAAATAAATAAGTGATTTTAAGACAAAATTATTGGACAAGCACTTCTTAGGAACTTATTGGTGGAATGTAATGAATCAGAACTTGTTAGACATATTAGCTAATATATGTTTATTATGTATTGCACAGTGCATTGAATTGGTGGATTATTATGCCCTACGTTTCTTCTCCGAAATCGCATCAGTTCTTCCTAGAGAACTCTGCAAACAGGCCCACCTCTGCCAATCTGCAAACATTTCTTCACAAGTTCAAGGAAATACCTGTGAATCTTGCAAAGATACTGTTTCAGTCATACTGGTTAAGTTGAATGATCCTGACACCAAGGTTAGTAATTTTAGTTGCCAGTATGAAAGTTGAAGAGTGTTACTTAAGAACACGTCTTATTTAAAATTTTTTAGAAATCATTAAAATTTCGAGTTTCCAATAAATTTCAATAAAATAAGAAATAATATATTTAAATAGGTGTGTGAAAGAGTGTTTTTCTGACATTTCTCATCAAATTTTATCTTATTCCCTCCTTGGCATGAGAATTTTCTGCACTTTCTTGTCACATAAGTGGTTGTTGCATATTTTTTATACACTTGCAAATTTCTTCTTTCCTTTTCCATTTGCTTGGACGGTTTGCTGTCAAACAGAAGAAAGAATCTGATTATGGTCAATGTAGCATATGGATTTTTATGCACGCGCACATTAATATGTTATGTGCATTTTTGTCCTGTTTTGTTATGAGAAAGGTAGATATGAAAACTAAGAAGAAACATATTATCTATGTTTGAAATTGAAAATATAGTGAGATCTTATGTGAAACTTGCAGCGTGCATGTGTGCCAGTGAGAATCTGCATTACCCTGAAAAAGATTTTAAGTCTGAATTTTACATGTGCTTTAGTTTTATTCTTGTAACATACACTGTAAAACACCATAGCATTGAGAAAACCGTCCCTTAAAAACTAGTTGCTAAGACTGGAAAACTAAGTCACTTGATGTTGATATTTTACTGAGCATCTCATGTTACTCCATATGAAAGTTACATCTCCATAATACCTAAGCCCCGTGTCATATACATTTCACCCTCTCTAGATTTCTATTTTTTCCTCGAAAGCCTTCTAATATTTTTGTTTTTTGACCCCACTCTGCAAATGTCTTTACTCCACGTTATTGTCACCTTTGGTTGAATATGAAACTAACAATTTAAAATGTCAGCTTGAGATAATCGAGGCACTGTTGAAGGCATGCAATTCTATGGATAAGTTGGCCAAGAAGGTAAGAGAAGTCTTGAAAACTCCATCTTTCTTTTACTCTCTTATTTACTGAATTCCGTTGTATTCTTAAACACCATGTTGCATTGAATCTATCCTTTGAATCCAAAACAGAATTTTCAATTTTTATCCTGGTCTTACCAAAAAATGTTTACAACCATAGTTTTGGCCCACGGTAATTTTCATTTAATGATTATATTCGCTGTCAATCTCCTTACCTAGCCAATAATTGAGCTGTGGTGTGAAAATTTGATGAAAATATTCTCACTTCACCATCCAAAGGATTGTCCAGCCAAATAAATCAAATAATAGAGTACTGTTGGAACTGGATAAACTTTTCTTTTGTGGTGCAATACAGAGTTGAAATATATATCAGATGAAATAAGGTTAAGATCGCGTGAGTCTTATAACAATACTGTTTTTTCTGTCATATTTGAGTTTCCTTTTGATAATCTTATAACCTTTAACATGATCTTTTATTATATAAATTATCAAGATTGAACTCTAATTTTAATTAAAAATAAATAATTGTCTTTTTTAGTATATGCATTGACAATATAACGATATTTTACACCATTATCTAATCATAAGCAGTTGCTATATATCAAGTTTGTATTAACTTTTATAATAATTACTTTAAAAAGTCACGACATCGATAATTTTTAATGGGAAACAATGCATACGTGTAGGCAGTGCAACCTGGATCAAGCATGGAGTAGTCCGAAAGGTCGAAGTAGTAGGTGGTAAAAAAAAAAGTAACTTAAAATGAATTTATTTCGACCTGTTTAGAGTATGACTTATAGACTTAGATGAGGTTAGCTGAACTGTTTTTGAGAAGCCTGCTCGAGCAACTTCTTACCTATTAAGCAAATCAACAAAAAGAAGCGTTAGAATTCATGATCAATTATTTTCTTCCTGTCCAAGTTTTTTTTTTAACAGTGAAATTGTTTGCAGTGCAAGAGGATGGTTTTTCAGTATGGACCTGTGATGATTCTCAAAGCAGAGAAGTTCCTGCAAACAACAGATGTATGCACTACAGTACATGTCTGCCCAGCTTCCACTGCAGTAAGCAACAAGGAAGCTTCAATCATGGAAGAAGTACCTTTGATTTCTGACTCTTAATCATGGGTGAAGAGTTTTATTAGTTCTACTCTTAATGTTTCTTTCTAAATTAAAATCCGTGTTCATGTAACTATGTGCTCCTGGTACACAACATCTCATTATATGTTCAAGTATATTATTGTGTGATTCCAAAGTTTTACAGTGTTTTCTCATTTTGAAAGCTGTGGCATTTAAATTCCGAAAATTGTTTTTGCTTATTAACTATTTTTCAAACAAATTAGAAAAAAGATAGTAGTTATTACTTGATAAATAATATTATCATAGCATAAATGCTTGCCGTCTCAAATTTACGTTTGTGTCGTAAAATTTTACTCTAAACACTGACACTACATTGTGATTGACAATTTTTCACCTAATTAGGAGAAACTTTATTGTAAATTAAAATGATTGATTTCGAAGGTTTACATAGTCAAATATTATGTTTATATTTCTTATAATAAATTAATATTAAATAAATTCTGCTTACTGGAAATTAAATACAAATTTTGAAACTTGACTTTGTTGTATTAAAATATTTTACACGTGAATACAAGGATTTTCATGATAAAATTTGTCAAGTTGTATATAAGGAAAAATAGTGTGACTACATGGAGTGTAAGTATAGTATTAGATAGAGATTTTAGGTTAATCTCTCCATTTTGACAAACTTTACATAATGTTTTGGGAATTATATTGAGATTTAGATATGTCTATCATCCGCATATCAACAATGAGAATAAAAGGACGACCAATCCTTTGTTAAAGATATGTGTAGTAGCTCATCTATCAAGTGAGGATGAAATATTTTGACATGTAGAGTTCACCCGCAATCAGGTGGAACTAGAAATTTTACGAGAATGCAATATATAAAAATTAATTATTATATAAAAATGAATATATCATCTAAAATATTCATGAGTATTATCAAAATTATTAATTGAATATAAATTTTGAAAAAAAAAATTATTTTATCATTTGTCATCTCTTTTTTCTTAAAAAATAATTTATAATTTTCTTTTTGAACATTTTTAAAACTCAATTTTTTTTAATATTTTAATATCAAATAGAACATCATAAAATATTAAAATAGTTAACTAATTTATAACAAATAATAAATTTATAATAATATTTCAAATTTTTATGTTAATAAACAAAAATAATAAAAAAATAAATTTTTTCCCATTTCTTTACTTCAATATGAATAGAAGAAAAAAAGTAAAAAAAATAAAAATTACAATTTTTATGCTATAAAGATAAAACTATAAAAAATAAAATTTTGAAAATTAAAGAGAAAAACTTACAATTGCAAAGTAAAATTGTGAAAGAAAATAGTATGAAAGTGAATGAGTGGTAGAGAAAAGGATAGAAATGTAAAAAAACAAGATCAGTTTGGGATAAAAAAAAATTGAAGTAGAAACCTAAAAAAGTGAGAGAAGAAAAGATAAAATATTCCAAAGGTGCTAAGCATATAGAATTGAAATATTTTGCTCGTTAAAGAAAAAGTTCGAAACAGAGAGTGTCAAAAGAACATATTAACACTGATCTTATGATTGATGATCCTTTAACAAAGGGATTACCGTCCAAGTTGTTTGCTAGCCATATAGTAAATATGGACATTATGTTTACTAGTAGTGAATGTTGAATGTTAATGTTATTATTAATGTTTATGTGACATTCTGAGATCTTTAATGTATAAGTTTCTGAAATTTGTGTTTTCTACTTTATTTATATGCATGCAAATTATGATGAAGAAAACAAATTATGTTATTATTATTAAAATGATATTATGTTTGAACTCATTATGGACTTCTTATTATAAAGTCATATTAAGGAGAAAGAGATAATATAGTGGTATATGGAAGGGAGTGTGTCGATTGAATGACATGTAACTGTCATAACTCTTGTTATAGTTGTATCTTTAATTATGAATAATGATAGAACCAATTTATGTAAGGTCTTTTAATGCGTATTATGACTTAAATATTAAATCACAGAATCGTATGACATCACACGAGTTAAGTGGGAGAATGTTATAATTAATTTAATTAATTCATTCCATTATGTGACTCATATGAAATATAATGATAGGCCCAAATGTGATTTAATAAAATATGAAGACCTATTGGTTATTATGTGAAGTTAGAATAAAATAAAGATAAAATAAAATATTAACTTACGGTAACCAACTTGATGGATGTTGGTTAATAAAAGGGATTAGGGTTCTCATAATTAAGGTTTTTTCACGGTAAGCCATCAAGAAAGCGCGAGAAGAGAAAGAAAGACAAAGAGATAGATTAGGAAAGGAGATTGGAGAACGAAAAGATTAAAGAATAGATTCTTATGTATTGATGTATGTTATATTGTGAAAATCAATAATCTAAAGATATTGTAGAGTAGTTTTCCATAATGAATTAAGAACGTAGGAAAACTACATAATATTTTACAATAATGACTTATAAGGAGGAGATATTATGTGGAGACAAAGGTGATGTATTGAATTTGATATTTTAAAGGAGATATATTAACTTCATTTATATTAGACTCACATAGAGCAAATTATGAGGTGGTGAGAGTTGAAAAAAATCTCTATGACTTAGTTTGCAATGTGGAAAAAGAATTGTATATGACTAGTCATAGAGATTTTCCTAGTCATACGAGGGTACATATTCCAATTATGTTCTTATGTTGGAGATATTCACTTAGGGAAGGTAGTGTGACATGTGCAAATTTCTAAGTCTAAATTTAACGTATATAAGTCTTTCGAAAGTAAAGTCAAGTGTCAATGATTTTGAATATTAGTATATGATGACATGAGATATAACTTAGCCTGGAAGGATTAGACACTTAATTTATTATGTATACATGTTGTACCTTATATATTCATGATGTGGACATGGAGAATATATATTTTGGGATAATTATATGAATAAAAAAAATTATCACTAACTTACCTCGATTTGTATGGTGTATTGTTCTGAATTATAATGGTCGTGTTATTACACATGAGCAGATGATATTTTAGGTGGTCAATCTTAGCATTGAACTATTAAGGGAGAACATTATATTTTAGATATTTTATTTAAAATATGTATAAATGACCTTATGTGATAATGTTTTTTTCTTTTTAATACTTAGGCATGTGGGATGTTACATAATAGCTTTATAGATGGGAGGAAGAAAGTACCCTTAACTTGTGTTTAGATAGAAGAGTATATTTGACTGAAATGAACAAGTGACGGATCTTGACCATTGATCTTGGGGGACCAAATAATATATTATTAATAAATATAAAAGAAAGAAAGATGATAAAAATGTAAAAGGATAAAATTGTAAATATATACTTAAATATATTAAATGATCATTAAGTTAGAGAGAGACAAAATCATAAATTATATAAGAGTTATAAAACTGAGGAGGAGTTGAGAGGATAAAATTGTAAATATACAAGTAAATATATTAAATGTTAATTAAGTTTGGAGAGTCAAAATCATAAATTACATGGGAGTTACATAACACTTTGGGAGCCACGACCCCCTCAACTTCCAAGAAGATCCGCCACTTGGAAATGAAAAAGAAATTGTGGAGAATAAAGTTGTTTGGATTGAAGGAAAAGGAATAGTAGGGAAAAGAAAAAATAATAATAATAAAATTGTATAAAATAAAATTGATTAAAATATTATTTATTAATTTTAAATAAACTTATTTATTATTTTAATATTTTTATTTAATTATTTATTATTATAACAATTAAAAAAAGTAGACAGAATCCAATATAAAAATAATCATTATCCAATATGTTCCTCGTATAGAAAGGAAGAAAAAAAAAACAATAATTTTTTCTTTTCTTTTCAACGTCTCGTATTTTCTCATTTTCTTTCCAAATCAGTCGCCGTTCTCTTTCCCAGCGCAGGGATGATAATATTGTAGATTATAGAATTGATTTATAACAAACCAACCAAACAAATTATTTAAAGATTTTTAAGCATGAATTTTCAATAATTTAAAGTAATCATTGAAGATGCTCCTTCTTGCCTTTATTGCTTTACCATAACAAAGTTCACTATCTTATATCCTTTTTCTTAAAATACTTTTAGCTTCTGCACAGGACAAAGATAAAGGATAAGTTTATCAAAGAGTTGTTTTACTTTTGCTTCCAAATTCTCATCCATATTTTATTTTTCTCAAAGAGTCTAAATTATCATATATGGATTTGTGTTGAAACACTAGAAAACTAGATGATGATATATCTTCAACTCAAAATATAAAATCTTTTATTTTAATTAAGATTTGAAAATAATATTGTTTGGATAAGATAAAGAAATAAATACAAAGTTAATAAATGATTTTAATGATTTAAATATATATATATATAATTCTAAATATTATCAAAATATCTTTGATTAAAATTTTAATACAACTAAATAAGAATAAGTATGTATTTTTTTAATTTTAAAATTATTTAAACTTATTTCAAAATTATTGTTTGAAATGTAAATTGAAAAAAAAATCTAAAATTGTAATTAAAATACAACTACTAAATGTAAAATTAAACTTATAAATAAATAAAAAATGTATATAAAAAATTAATCAAAATAAATTGGAGTGCCTGAATAATGTTTAGGGTTTAGTTTCATATTTGATTAAGTTTAATATTGTTCACATGTAAAAAAAAACAATAATTTGTAAAATACTAATTACACAAATAATATAAATTTAAATCATAACTCATTTTTGTTTTTTTATACTTGAATAGAATATTAAAAGATATTTTTTTTATTTTTTATTTTATTTTAAAAGTTATATAGAATATAATGAAAATAAGTATTAAAGGAAATTCAAATTTTAATTAATTAAAAATTGTAATACTTGCATGTTATAATATCAACACGAGAAAATATCAAATTTATTTATTACTTTTAAATGAAATATTATTAATCATTTCCTAGATTACTTATAGTTATGATTATCAATATTTTAAAATATTGACATATTTTTATAAGTTGTATAAATAATAATATAAA